CTTTCAATGTCGAGATATGCTATTTAATTATAGAACTTCTCTGAGAAACTCTTTCTTTTATCAAAATTCCCTGTCTTTTTCTTATGCATATTTCTACTAGTGCAGATTAATTTTAATCTCCTTTCAACTCGCTTTTCACCTCTTCCTAGTTCTTAGAACTAGAAAAAGATGAAGAGTAAGTGCAATCAAGATTAAAGTTAATCTACATTGGTGGAAACAGGTTTTAATGCATTTCGATTATCGCAGCGTACTTGGACTTGCGTTTAAAGATCGAAAAAAAGAATATCGTGCGTTTACGTCCGTTCTTTTCACGACGGTGTCGTTACGCCACCAGTTTATGTAATTCTATGAAATCTCTTCACGGTCATATCCGCGACTCTCATTTTGCCATGCGCGAAATCATATAAATTTAACGTCACGTTCTCCGCGTATAAATATCACTAATAATTTTCCGTCCACAGACGGCCGTAATCTGCATGTCTTTCAACGACAGTGAAACCGCACACGTCTGAACCGGATGCGTAGGTTACGCGTCCCTGACCTAGGACGTTTCGATTTTATAGAGTTAAAAGAGCCGGCAACGAGCGTCCCGACCGTGAGAAACACTAAAATACGCATCTGAGAGAATCTTCGATAATTTCATGGTCATCGTAATTTCATTTCGTAGAACGATGATCCTCTTACATAATCGGAAAATGAGAAACGAGAGAACCGTATGGGAAATTTACACAATAGTGTATTAACGATCTAATTTGTAGTCATTAAAGGGACATTCGATTCTCAGATCGGAATTACATTCATCCCCCTGATACAATTAACGTCTCCAATGTCCCCACATTCATCAATATTCAGAGACATACGGTAATCCCGCGGGTATAACTCTAATGTTCACTAATAACATTCGAGAGGTAATGCACGGTTGAAACAGTACGACTAATAGGTACGCGCGACCGCAAACAAATCTGCGGATATACGGTCGTATTTATACGGATGAAACCATCGTGCGAGAAACGTGCGCGCTCTGAAAATGTACGATAGAGAATGGAAACAACGACGAGGGAAACAGAGAAAGAAAGAAGAGCCGAGCAAGTAGTGGTGAGAGCAGAGCGCCTGGAGGTGCTTCTCCGTTGAATGCGCGGTGTTTAAAATCAAACGGAAACCCAGTTTAAGCCCAGTGTACCTCTCCAGCATTCACTAATAATAGAGCAGATACTGGAAGGTTAGAAATACGACTTCCTCCCTTTGGCACGCCGCGTGTGCCCCGCGTCCTAAAAATAACGAACGGACGTTCGACACACGCTCATCAGAGCGAGGAAAGAAAAGGGCGAGGATAAGCCGCAGGGCGGCTGTCCAATTCAAACAGTAGGTACCCCCCGCACACCAGCACGTGCTTCCACTTATCCCCGGCGATAAGCCGTCGGGTTTGTGCGTGCGTGTGCGATATGCGATGGGCCACGAACCGGAAAGCGTGTGAACTTGTAACCCACTGGCATCGCTGGTTCGACCTCGTGACCAAAGTTCGAATGAACGAAAGACTAGAATCTTGAGGCCAGCATCGTGTTTAGTCTGCGATATATCTACAGTGTATTTAACACTAAGGGCCAGTTTCACAACTCACGGTTAACTCTTAACCGAGATTCAACTTATTTCTCATCTCTTTCCAATTCTAGCATTAGAAAGAGATGAGGAATAAGTTATAAACCTCAGTTAAAAGTTAACCATGAGTTGTAAAATTGGACCTAAGGCCTGTATTCATAGTCAGTTCTTATACTCAAGACGTCTTGAGTTCAGTCTTGAGATGTAACGAACCAATCAGAGGACCGCATTAACGTCTTAAGACATGACTTAAGACGGTCTTGAAATAAGAACCGACTATGAATACCGCCCTAAGTATCGTTAGTTGCAAAAAAAAGAAAAATTGCTCTATATATAAATTCATGATTAATAATACAACGATTTTTCGTTAAATTATCTTCGATTTCGCCACAGGCACGTCTTTGAAAGTTATGCGTGTATGTGCATTTTTTCCCTTTGTCCTTCCGCATACGCACGAGTGCGTAGCTTTACCGCATATTTGCTTAGATTCAATCGAGCAAATAGAGAAACGTGGTTCTTCGACGTGGTTCTTCGTCTGTGAGGCCTTCCTCGGGTCATAGGATCGATACCGGTTGGAGGTTTGTGATGCGGACGGTGTTGTGATGCGCATTACAATTCTATTCGTAGGAGACCCTACACTATCGATTACGCACAGAAGTGGCTGCATGTCGATGAACTCGATCTGTACATAGGACGTCGCGTTTTGAGATATACTACCAGCATATATTGCCGTTTTGCATGTCGAGCTCGACTAAATTAGAGACTCGACAGAACTGGATCTCGTATAACTGCAATTACCTTTTTTCACCAACGAACATGGATAAAATCTTATTTTCTGTGAAATTCTAAATAAAAAACCTTAATAAAATTCAAATGAAAGCACAATAATAGCTATGATAGATTTTACGTTAACGAATCAAGCTAAGTTTTAATATACTAAAAATTATATGCCGACTAAAATTTAATACTAAAAAATATTCCAAATATACAAGCGTTTCAACCTCTATTAGACCATCTTTAATGTAAAAATTATCAAATGTCAGTTAAATATACAAATCAATAAATTGCAAATATTGAACATCAGTTATAAATGTAGAAAGTAGTGAGTTTTTTAATAAAACTTCAATCTTTTTTGCAACTCTATTATTAAGATATTTAATACTAAAAATTATGAAGCAGTGATCTGACTTGCGATTGTACACAATTTGAATGCAGAATAAAACTTAATTTCGTGTATTATTCTTATCGTACGACGTGTATCACGCTCGAAATGCTTCTGGTTACTCGCAATAATCACGCGATCGTAAGATGTCGAGGATAAGTGCACACCGTCTCTATATTCATCTATTCCGTCTGTCACCGCATAATACACGATGTGAATTCTTGTCCAACGATTGCTGATCAATGTAATCGCGTTGCCTTTCACGCAAGATAAAAGCTCGATTGAATCTCCCAACCGCGTTTATCGCGCGACATCGCGATCTTCGATGCTACTTCGCGAATCTCTCAGCTTCGATTTATCAGTCGAAAGTTCAACGATAAATTTAGTAATATTAAAAAAATTGCAACGGTTTCTTATCCCGTTAGAAAGCCCTAAATTTCTTTTAAAAAATTTTGTATCTGATAATACAATCTAGATAATATAATACAATAAATTATACACACACACATATATATATATATCAAAGCACGGAGGTCGTTGTGCGAGTCTTGCCTTGAGATCATGAAAATTAATTTATAAGACAGATAAGATGCTATTTTATGAAGCCACCGCTCTTGGTTAAACTCTTCAACTCGTCTTTCTCCAATCGAACTCTGCTAACTACGGCGTGTTTCACGAAGCGGGGATCCCGTCGTCATCTCTATCAAATCGCGCGCTACCGATCACGCAAACGGTCGTAAAGCGGGATCCTGACAGAGGCGTTAGGATCGCTCGTTTCGGCGCGGCAAACGGCGCAGAACGAGTTAAAGGCGAGTTAATGGCGAGTCATCCGGTAAAGAAATACGTCGACGCAACGGACGACCGGACAGTCGAGGATAGTCGATTCTCCTTCCTTCTCTCCGGGGGAGACTTTTCTGACGACCCGCGGCGAGGACTTTTTCGCGACCGGACGTCTATCTTCGCGCGATCGTGGAGTCGTGGCGCACGTCGGGGTGAAAGTTACTCGCCACGACATAAACATCGTGGATAACGATTACGATAAAATTCAACGAGCCGGCCAATTCCCCGTCTAGGCGAAATGCCGTGTCGCTTATTCGGTTTCTCTTTCAGACGTATCGATTTCTTTCAGGGGGGATTCCACTATGTATCCGAACAAGTATTTCCTTACTTTATAGTCTTTAAATGTTAGATATCTCAACGATATTAAGCCGCAAATTAAAATTCTATCAAAGTCAGATTCATTGAAATTACACAAAAAAATTCCGTTTTATTGCTCGTTCAAACAATTCATCGTTATCTATTCATCGTTTATTGCTCGTTTTACAATTCATAATTGTATATGTACCGGTATTTTCGTTAAAATCGGCTGCAAATTGTACGAAAGAGTCGTAAGCAAAATTTCTTACGTACGTAACTTACATATATCTATACACAGAAAAATATTATTCTATTACTAAGAAAAGTGATTATACTCAATTTACTCTCTTCCTTTAAGTAACGGTTATCTTTAACAAAGAATATTATTAGTCTTAAAACATACTTATTACAAATTTTATAAAACTCATTATTATGTACCCAAAACAAGAATTTATTTTCTTTTAAAGAATATTATAAAATTGATCAAAAAAGCGACTTCATATAATAAGCAAATCCAATTTGTTTTAATAATCTTCAGTATTACCTTGAATATACAGTATTTTCTTGAAATATTAAACTTACTAGGATTCAGAATATATTTTGAATAAATTTAATGCTTGTGATGAATTTATGACAAATTTATGAATATAAATGAACTTTTGAAATACTTTAAAACAAGCAAATATTATTTGTGTACAGTATATATTTTTCTGTGTGTAAATTCAGCTTTATTTCATACTGGTAATACATCTTCCAACGATGCTAGCGTATAAGAACTACATCTAATAGGATATAAAAATTCAATAATCCCTCATTAAAATTGACTATTAAAATCTTAATTTTACTTAAGAATGCTTTACTTAAGAGTAAATGTATGTAAAAGGCGTATGAACGAGATTGGTCGGAGACGGCCTGTACGTTCGTACATATGAATCGGCCAGACGGGGACGGCGACCTCCGTCCAACGCGATCCTTTGTCAAAGTCCCTTAATCATAGCCTCATTTCTCAAGCGGAATCTCCCGCGGATCTCCGAGCGTGGAGTACGCGGCGTGACGAACGACTCAATTATTGTCCGGCGCACCCCTCGAGGGGGACTTCACTTACCTCTTCCACAAGGGATCTCTGCATATTGGTCCAGCATAGTTTGCACGGGCACACGTCCTTACTCGCCTCCTTCGGGTTCTCATTCCGTTCACGGTCCCGCGTGTTACCGGCGGCCTGATGAGGCGGCGGCGGCGGCACCGGCGGCGGCAGCGGACTGGTGGCCACTTCGAGGCTGTCCGAGCTCGAGTTGTGGCGTCGCGGCGGCGTAATATTGCTGCTGACGTTCGCTTGCTGGCAGGTCGCCTGCCTGACCTCGCACGACCTACCATACTCGTTGCCGCATTTGACGGCGTGCGACGGGGACATGTACAGATTCAACATGCACTTGTTGCTCGGCTGCTGCGGCTGCGGCCGCAGGAAGTCGTCCAGAAGATAAAAGCTTTGTGCACGGCTCGATCGTGTAGTGGAGGTCGTGCCGCGAGTCTCTACAACGCTCTGTTCCGCGGCTCTGCAATGGTCGCGTCCTTCTCTAATGCTCCTGCATTGTTCGGAGTCATCCAGCTGATGTCGGTTACGCTGCGTAATGTGTCTCTCGTCGAGCTCGATTGCCGGCTCGCTATCTTGGTACAACCTGCGGCTGACCTTCGACTTGCCAGCAATTTGACCAAACTCTCCGTTCTCCCGGTAAACGTCTCTACTGACACGAGACACTCGTGCCGAGTAGGACGTCGGTTGTTGGTAGCGCGTCTTACAGCTCGATCCGCGCGATTCTTCGCGAAAGTGATCACCCTCGATCATGGATATGCTCATATTATGAGACAAGGAATTCTGATTGACGTGAGAGCTACTGCTAGCTCCGACGGGAGTCCTTAAAAGTGCGCCAAGGGATCGCCATTTCCGATCCTGTTGGTTCGTCGATGTGGATGAAACCGAGGATCTGTTCCACTTCCTGTCATTCGACGGTGACGTCAACAGACTGTTACCCACGGACCACTTCCGCTCATTCGTAGGCGACGTCATCGAGGACGGCCACTTTCTCTCATTCGAGGGTGACGCCATCGAAGTACCCGACCATTTCCGTTCTGATGACGGTGCGCTGATAGCGGCAGCGCCACCGCCAGTTGCATGTAGCTGTTCCTCTCGTTGTCGGGCCTTCCACCAGGATGATGTTGAAGTAAAAAGAATTAACGCGCCTCGTAATGGATTCTGGTTCTTGGCAGTTCCCTTCGGCGAGAGGTCGCGGTGATCCTTGACTTTCAACGGGCAGTCCCTGAAGTTGGAATCGCATTCTCGGTCGCTAAACGCGGCGGCGTCGCGCTGTTCCCTCAGGGCGTTCTTCGCGGCTGCCACCTCCTCCTCGTGATACAAGGTTGCATTCGTGCTGCGCAACCGTGGTCGGATCCGCACGAAGCCGTAATCGTTGCCATCCTGAAGGACAGGATCGAACGGTTCGCGGGACTGTTGCTGGTGATGCTGCAGGAGGGAGCAATGCGCGGCCGCCGCAGCCGCAGCTGCCGCCGCCTGGCCGCTGGACGTGTACTGATGATGACCGTTGCTCAGTTGTAGACTCGGCTGTTGCAGCAATGTTGAGGTCCTCGCGCGATGACCCTCGCCGGCGGTGCCGCGTTGCAAGCACGAGAAGCTCGCCGAGTGCCGCAAGCTCGAGGGCGTGTTGCCCGGCTGACTCACGCCCAACATGTCGCCACCTTTTATTTTCAGTCTTTGATCTCTCGAGGGAGAGAACGGATGTGTATATATTAATATAAGCGTGTACGTGTATATACGTGACGAAGGCAGGACTGACACGAAGGGGGCAGGAAGGGGGGCAGGTAGAGGGGCAGTTAGTGAGCAGCAAAAGCTAAGATCGACCAAGGAACGGTTCAGCGGACGAAGCGGCAATCTAGCTCGTCATTACTCCTGGCAGTGTTTTTATCAGTCTCGCGATAACATCCGGCGTGTTCTCTCGCGAGTAAGCAAGGAGGAATCTCTCCTTCTTTCTTCTACGCTGACCTGTTCTTCCCTCGGTCAATTCCTCTTCCCTGTATCGCGCGCATCATCATCGTCTTGACTTGAAATTCGTGCGGTTCGCTCTCGTTGAAAAGCCCCACATGGGCTACATCCTCGTCGTTACCGGATGAACGCGATGCCTATAGATGATATGAGATCTGTAACAGAAAGTAGGAACAGGGTAGGGAGTGGCAACTCAAAAGAAAAATGGCTACGATGAAACGAAGCGTCCGTCGATGGCGCATTCGTGAAAAATCAAAGTGCTCGATGAAGTGAATTGGGCGGCGTTGTAGGGGGGGGGGGGGGGGGGGGGGGGGGAAATGATTTTATAGTCATGACCCGCGTGAAATGTGGGTGAACGTGACGGTGCGATGATTATTCCTAGAATTGGCTGTCGAAACTCTAGCGAGTTGATTTATCGGAGGGATCGGCGAGAGTTGAAGGTCGTTCTGCGGCCAGTGTTCGAGGCATGTATCGAGATATCTATCGAGGTGTTTATTATGAAAGTTTGCCGCGTTTCTACGACAATGCGCGAACGAGCTGGAACGAGCGTTTTCTCGGAAATCTGAGCGGAGTTCTAAGCAGAAATACCGTGCTAGATATACGATCGATGTATAATTAATGTACGATTAAGGGATAAATTTAACGTTGATGTAAGATGTATTGATATCAGATAAAACTTACAAATAAAACGTTATATCAAAGATTTCTTAAGAGATATTTAAATAAACAGATAAGAGTATTTCAAATACTTGCTAAATCTACTCATCTCTGAATTTATATCTACAATGTACTAAATATGTTTAACTCAATATATATTCTCCCGCGTGAACTGTGACAAAGTACATTACAAACGTAGTTCTACTTCTCTACAAAAATATGATACTATGAAATTAGATGGTAAATGTGAGGGTAAATGTAAATAGAAGTACAGAATTAGAGCGTATCGCGTCCGGATGCAAATACGATGTTTGTTTGCTGTTTGATTATATATACTTTGCGAAGTATAGTATAGTTGTACGTTGCTGAAATTGCAACATGGCGTAATAAATGTAACAATAACAGAATTTTCATTGAAACATCGTCAATAAGCGCCAATGAAACATGATTAATGAAACAAAACCGTGAGTCAAGTTTTGTGGTAAAATGATTAAAAACCAATGATGCATTGGCATGCTGTAGAATCAATGCAACATATCAGAAAAAAAGCTGTGGGAGGGGGAGAAAAGAGGGGTCGAGATTCACAAAACTATCTCAAAGGATACGAAGGGAAAAGGTTCATTTCAAAATTAAAGGCATTCTCTTTTTTAAGTCTGCAGGATTGACACAATTATTTCCTAATTAGCGAAGATCGGACCGTCGTTGACGTAATTAGCATTCGTAAAGAACGTCTGACGACTGATTAAAAAGATCCGGTGTATTTAACGACGCAACAAATATTTAAAAATCGATTTGAAAGTGAGGAAAGAAGTACAGGTTGCACAAAACTTTCGTATTTCATTAAACGAGTTAACGTCTGTAAGTATCAGCGGAGTTACTGGAGACAAACGTTAACTCGGCAGTGGTTTTTTTTACGTAAATAATCACCTGGGTTTTTTTACATCCGAATTAAAATCATTATTATTAACAACGTATTATATATTATTGTTTTTCGATTTATTAATATTTGAGAATATTACGGATATAAATTTGACCGCAATTTTCTGGGGGGGGGGGGAAATAGATACCAAACGAATATTAAATAGAATAAACACGCTAAAGGTTTAAGCTTATTATGATAATATTTGTAAAAAATAAAGATTTTATTAATATAATATTTATTATGGGTTTTTGAATTGGATATTTATATAAAGATTCGTAAAGAATAGTTATTAAAAAAAGGAGAATATGTCAAATAACATTCATACAAAACAATATTTTACGTTTCACATTTTTTTTCACAACTGAGGTGTAAAAATATCCCAGATGACTATTCCCAGATTAAGAAAGCTACCTGAAGACTGCATCATCTCATATCTTAATTAAGTTCCTTGCAAACGAGGCTGCGTTCGCTTTGTCGATATGTCGTCACACGATACATCCGAGACAAGACTTGATCCACTCGTATCGCATGTGAGTTTTAAGCAATTATCCACGTCGTAACAATAATAGTGCGTAATACATCCGGCGACTCCGCAACACCCTATAGGTACGGCGACGCGATCGAAATGGAATCCGCTCGCTCGTGCTGAGTTCTATACGAAGCAAGTTACACACCGTTCCCCAGGATCTCTCTAGTTTTGTAGCAATGATCTAACGCGGCCGTCTACTACGTGTCTGTACATATGTAGGTGCGCAAAACAGTGAAAGGTTTTTCAAGGCGGGAAAGCAAGTGACACCTACACATCGACAGCGGCTGCAACGTGCGCTATGCGAAAAGGCAAGGCCGTTCGCGCGGATAAAAGTTCGCGCGCGCGTTCTTGCGAAACCGATCCCCGAGCCGTCTGTCGCAACAATAATGACGCGTAATGGAATAGCCGCGGATCTCGCGCAAAGACCGTCAATTTCGCGCGCCGCCAATTAGATATCGGACATTTGCCGATCAATCGATCGTTTTTCCGCGCGCGATTATCCATCGGTCTCGAAGCGAACTTGTTCACACCACTCGCCTCTTTGCTTCACCGGGATCCTTTCCTTTCGACGCAATCTCTCTGTCCTTGAGATCGACATTTCTCGGGCACCTCACCTATACGGATCGCATCGCATTCTTTTTTTCTTTTTTCGAGAACGCATAACGTAATTTATTCCAACGATTGCAGCGTATATAATACGCAATCATCACGTAATAAACTCTCGTCTTTATTCGTGCAGCTCTGGTTGCTCGCAGTAGTCGATTCGCAATATTTATATACACCATTACATTCTTGGATACGACGATCCGGCTTTAAGTTTAAATCGCATTTTACGGCCAGCGCTCTTTGGCGGATGCAAAGTGGCCGGTTCGCGCTCTCGTTGCGAATGTTCTCGCGGAGCGCGAAAGCGCCAGTCAATTAGCTCGACGATTTGACCGTGTCGTTGTTAAGCAAGCGATATACATCATCCTAGAAAATTACGGGCCAAATAGCATTCAGGGCATAAAGTCGACAGTCATTGCGCGCGGAATGTACCTATCTAATTAGAATAAAAGCAATGAGTTTCAACCGATGAAGGTACCTGCACATGCTGATAAACATGAGATCTCTTTTATATCTCTAGAATGTAACACAATTGTAATTTACCAGCTCATAATACCATAAACATTTTATTTATGACTCGCGTTAAAAATGGTTAATATCAGAAATGGTGATAGCTCTTCAAATTTCTACTATAAAATCAATAGTAAAATCCATCGCAGAATTTGACAGAAGTTTCGTTAATTCGGAAATAGTCACCTAGAGTATTTCCGCCCCCGCGGCGAAAAAATATCAATGTTTTAAAATTAAATATTGTAGAATACTATATTTTCTTTCTTTTTAGACATATTTTTTGTTTTTTTTTTTTTTAGTAACTATTCTTTATGAATCTCTAAATATACAATTCCATCGTAATACAAAAGTGTTATATCAATAAAAATATTTATTTTTTAGAAATACTGACGTAATAAGCTACTTTAATGTGCTTATTCCAGTTATTCGTTCGGTTTCTGCTTCCTTTTTTCAGAAAATGGTAAGTAAATTCATATTCATAATATTCTCAAATGCCAATAAATCGGAAAACAATAATATGTTGTAACAGTGATTTTAATTGAGGTGCAAAACGGTCGCTCCAGATGACCGTTTACGTGAAAAAATAAAATGCCTACCGCCGGATTAATGTACCTTAATGGAGCACCGTGTGCACGAATATCGGCTGATCACCGTGTACACAGATCTCGCGAAACTCTCACCTCGCTTTGTTCGATGACTTCGCGCGCAACACCGCAAGAGAACGCAGACGTAATCCGCGCGCATTTGCGCTCTGTATAGCGCGAGTCAACCTGGTTAACGTAATTGGCCGGAATCTTCGGCCGTAACTAATTGCAGGCCCGGTATATAATAAGCGCGCTCGGGCGGCGCCGCGACTTGCTCAAGATTCGTTACGAAAGAAATTTGAAAGCTCTTCCTCCTCGGCGCATCGTCCAGGACTCCGGATTAGTTTTGAAAGGAGGCGAATTGCGCGATTCACGACAGGAAAAAATACATATGACGGACTGTTGCGGACTCGCAATGGGAGATTTCCGCTTTCAGACGAATCACAGACTTGTCATAGAAAATAAGAACACAATGCACAAGATAAATATAGTTAAACACGTAAGAACGAAGTAGAAAAGTACGAACTCTGACATAAAGAGAAATTAAATAGATAGTTATTTATCTCAATCGAGGCTTAAGCGTTAACAATCAACTTGATATATCTTTAGAATGTACTATCCTTGTAATGGAGAAAGGATTGCAGGCGACCAGTCACGATGCAACAACGTGCTATTAAAATGTGTGCTCACTCCATTATTCTTTTTTAGTGTGCAATTAAGACGGAATTACTTATCGGTGAGTCAGTTAACTTTTTAATCGTCGGATGAGGAAGATTTCTCGATCATAACTACTAACGTGCTTTGGTTCGCTCGGTCCAATTCAATACGGAGTTTATGACTTACGACAGATTTGCATTGCCACTCGGTGGAATTGCGCAGTTGGGTAATTCGCAGTATGATTTATTGAACGGAAGAGATTCCGCGTTTCACGGCAAGCTGCAGTCACAAGATCCCACGTATGCATACGTGGACGCGTTAAAACCGCGTTTGTCAATTCCATGCAGCATGTTATGACCTGTCGATTTCATCGCGCGCAAACAACAATTGTTTTCCTCTACATCAATGCGCTATGTCACTATATGGAGACACGCCTGACTCATTCTTTTTCGTTACACAATTCGATTCCGTCATACTTCTGTAATTTCTGTAACAATCGCGCGGATTCACCTCGCCATTTGTTCGAGGAAGCGTTTCTCGTAATAAAAAAGATTATTTATATTAGCAATAATCGAAAGAATTTCTGTTAGAAATAGCTTACTCCGTAAATCTGAATTAGTGAGTATCATTGATTATCAGTCCCAAGTATCCTATTAATGAAATTCAACTGAAAAAGAAAGGAAGTTTGAGCAT